GATTTTTGGCAGATTCCAAAGGGGTAGCATCACAGATTTTGGGCGATTTTCCCAAAATGCAATTTTCTTTTGATTATGGAGGCTACAGATAAAGGATTCAGGCCGAGGCTATTCTCCACCGATATTAAAGTCTATTGATCCTATTCTCCACATATGATAAGTCCATTAAGCTCCGATTTGGGGCAATTTATTTTCGGATGGCATTTTCGTAATTTTTTGGGCGATGAAAGGCCATTTTCTTTGTATTTTGAAGGCTACAGATCACAGATTCGTCCTGAGACTATTCTTCAACGACGACTACGTCCATTAATAACCAATTTGGGCGGATTTATCCCTTGTTGATTTTGGGCATATTCCAAAGGGCTACTATCACAGATTTTGAGCGATTTTCCCGAAATGCCATTTTCTTTCGATTCTGGAGGGTATAGATCACGGATTCAGGCCGAGGCTATTCTCCACCGATATTAAAGTCTATTGATCCTATTCTCCATATACGATAAGTCCATTAAGCTCCGATTTGGGGTAATTTATTTTCGGATCGCATTTTCGTAATTTTTTGGGCGACGAAAGACCATTTTCTTTGGATTATGCAGGCTACAGATCACGGCTTCGGCCTGAGACTATTCTTCAACGACGATTACGTCCTTTAAGAATCAATTTTGGAGGATTTATCGCGTGTCAATTTTGGGCTTATTCCAAAGGGGTACCATCACAGATTTTGAGAGATTTTCCCGAAATGCCATTTTCTTTCGATTCTGGAGGGTACATTTCACAGATTCAGATCGAGGCTATTTTCCACCGATATTGAAGTCTATTGATCCTATTATCCACATATGATAAGTCCATTAAGCTTCTATTTGAAGCAATTTATTTTCGGATGGCATTTTCGTAATTTTTTGGGTGATGAAAGACCATTTTCGTAATTTTTTGGGTGATGAAAAAATCCAAAACTACCACTGTTAAAAAAATTACAAAAATACCACCCACTCCAAATAATTTCCAAAAATACCATCGTTTATATAAAACCGCGCCTCTAATGAGCGGTTTTTAATAAAACCGCGCCTCCAGGAAGCGGTTTACGTTATAACCGCGCCTCGAGGCAGTGTTTTTAATTTCCAGAAAAAACCGCTTCTGGAAGGCGCGGTTATAGGCTAACCCTACCACAAAACGCTTTAAGAGGGAGCGTTTAATTGTCGGCATTACAAACCGCTTCCCCAAGCGGCGGTTTACAATGTCAGGATGTAAACCGTTGCCCCAAGGCGCGGTTTGTGTCTGGTCACCCGACAGCCAACATGTCGGACATGTCGGCATGCAGGGGGTAGGGCTGGTAGGGCTGCATGGCAGACCTAAAACCGCTCCCCCCCCCCAGCGGTTTTGCTCAAAAATTTGCCTATAAAAGGCTGTTTCAGAGAACTCAATTCTTCACACCTCCTCTTTCTTCTTAAAATTTCAGCTTTAAATTATTTAGTTTTTGCGATTAACGTTAATTCGTAAGTTTGTTTCGTAATTACTTTTCATTGTCCTTTGTGATTTTATGTTAGTAACTTAATTACTTTTCATTGTCATTTGTGATTTTATGTTACTAACTTAATTACTTTTCATTGTCATTTGTGATTTTATGTTAGTAACTTAATTACTTTTCATTGTCATTTGTGATTTTATGTTAGTAACTTAATTACTTTTCTCGACCCGCCGCCGAATGATCTGCCGTCCGAGCGAGGTCGTGGATTCGCTCGATGCCATCAACCTAAATCGAAGAAAATAACAAAGTTAGTCATTTAAATATAGAATGCATCGCATGACTAAATAAATATTAAAAAAAATTACTTACCAAAGCTCCGTCCGCCGCTCCTTCGGGGGTCATGTAATGAACAGATTCTCGTCGGGTATTTTTCGAGGTAAGGGTCATGGTAGCCCATCCGCCCCACATGAGATGCCGTGACAATATCCTGATCTTGCCTAACATTCCACAGGCGGATCAATTTTTCATACTCCTCCGGCCAATTTGTAGGTCCTTGTCGACCATCTTTCCCGTGGTACCCCTTCTGACTCTCCGGGCCATCCAATGGTATGCATTGCTCACGTCCAAACTGTCGTAGACATCGATCCGGCAAGTGCCACTCCACTATATGGTGGCAGATTAGTGGAACTCGGGTGCACCGTTGACCGGGATGTAACGGGAATTTGTGAACGTGATGCACAACAATCCGTTCTGGATACGGATCGAACTTAAGCTACAAAGGTTTATAAGAAAAACCATTAATCAACATAATAATATAAGTTAAAAAAGTAGGTTTTAATAGCGTATTATGATGCTCACCTCTGCTTCCCAAAGGCGATCAAGCCTCCTACGATACTCCTCCAACTTGTGCGCTCCTAGGTTGTCGCATGTTTTTTCACCAAGCCACCTATTCAATCCAAAAAGTATGGAGTGTTAATACCTAATACCCATTTCGTGATAAAATACCCAATTAGTAAAAAATTGTGAGAACTATGAGTGGGATAGAAAACATTTACCTACAACCATAAGCTCCATGTCGTAGGGGATGGTCGGGACCCCATTCCTTGTCGGGATCAACCTTCGGCGCAATCCATGGCAAATGCTCCCAAGCCCAGAATTGGACGATGAACATGGCCCCATCAATCTCCTTCACCACTCTCGCACTAGCATTACATAGGGATCGGTAGAGATGAGCTAGGCAAGCAGATGCCCAGCTCAGGTTTCCCATATCATCCCAACTACCAAGTATGATCTTCAACCATGAATTGCTGATTAGGTTGTTGGATTTCTTGGGGAAGAAAACTCCTCCGATCATGCCGAGGATGTAGATACGTGCATAAATTTATCACGCTCCGAACTTTCCTCCGTGAGGGGAATGCCTCCGAACTCAGGGTTGTGCTTACGTCTGATCTCCTATGTCAACCACGTGATGGATACTTGGCCCTTGGATAATGGTGGATGACCATCCGCATCGTGATCTCCCTTTTCTGGCGGACACAACCCGGTGATCGTCCATATAAAATGTTGCCAACCACTCATATTGGCAACAACTTTAGGTGGTGGCGTAGAGTCCACACAAACAACATCACCATCGATGGGGAGATCGGTTAGGATGGCGATGTCCTTAAGTGTGATAGTGCACTCGCCTTCACGAAAATTGAAGCAGTGTGTCTCCTTTTGCCATCTCTCTACCATCGTTGTGATGAGTTGGCGGTCGATCTTGATTCCATTGAAATGCCTAATCGAATCCAATCTTGCCCTTTTTAGAAAGGGGAAGATGACGTCGTTCCATTCAAGCACATTCGTTGTGCCTCTATAGCGGACTATATGGTCTGCATCCTAGAGAAGAATTTAAATATCACTATAAGTTGATGATTTATACATAACTAAATATATTATAAGATACAATTTATAAGGTTGTTTTAGAGAAATACCCATTATCTAATTTAATATTAATTTTAACATAACTGAATAATATTATAAGATGCAATATTAATTAAATCAAGGTTCATTTAGAGAAATATACATTATATAATAAACATTAATATTAGCATAACTAAATAATATTAAAAGATGCAATATTAATTAAAGCAAGGTTGTTTTAGAGAAATATACATTATCTAATTAATATTAATATTAACATAACACAAATATATTCGAAATTTAAGTATAATTATTATTTGTACACATACACATAAAATCAAATATATTATTTTGTTAATCATATTGATTATTTTCAATAATTTAAAGCAATACAAGTACACTCATAAGACTCTTAGGAGAGGTATACAAATCCTTAGAAACACAGTCTTTTTGACAGAAAAAGGGGGGATCCGAGGATCGTTTAGAACCCGATTTTCCCAGGTCATGGGGGGATCATGATGATCGCTTAAGTCCCCATTTCCTTAGACATGCATTTCTTTATAAAGAGTCTAAATAAGTGTTGTATTGTATTGATTTAAATTATTGAAAATAATCAATACGATTAACAATTAAGTAAATTATTGTACAAACAAATAATTACTTTAACAAAATACAAATTTCAAGTGATGATAAATAATATGTACCTTGTGGTCGTTCCAAACGTCTCTTGAACGATGATTTGCTTGATCGTATAAAACTGTTGGATCAATCGGTCCTTGATCAACATAATATCGTTGATTGAAAATATCAACATCCGGCCCAACCTACGATAGCATAACAATAACATAAATCATTAGTATATAAATTAAATAAATCATTATAACAACAACAACAATTGGGAAAAATGAGTACGTACCGTTTGATAATCATCATAAAAATGCCCTCTTCTTGAGCAAAATCGGCCATTGTCTCGGAATCCGGACAGAGGTTCGACGGTTTTTTAGTGAAAACCAAAGAAAAAGTTTTTTGGAGGCAGATCGGACTTAGCCGCAACCAACAAAAAAACTAATTCTAAGGTTGGGTGGGGAGGGGTTGGGTAGAGAGAAGTTAGAGGGAGAGAGGGGGGAGTGTTGTTGGTGTGCAGAAAACTAATGGGGAGGGGGGGTTTATATAGTTTTCAAACCGCGTGGGGGAGGGTCGGTGCATTAATTTCTGCCCACCAAAAACCGCGCCTCGCCCACGCGGTTTGCTTTTCCCGACGGTCAAACCGCACCTCGGGGGAGCGGTTTTCGTGGGCGACGCGGATCGCTGAGTTGACACGCGTTTTAGCCGTCAGATCGCTCCTCCGACGGGCGGTTTGATGCAACGCCACGTGGCAACGCGGTTTGACAGCCAAGCAAGGTCAAACCGCGCCTTGGGGGCGCGTTTTGCTCTATAACCGCCGCCTGGAGACGCGGTTTCATTAAAAACCGCTCATTAAATGCGCGGTTTTAAATAAATGATGGTATTTTTGGAAATTATTTGGTCTGGGTGGTATTTTTGTAAATTTTTTTTAAACAATGGTAGTTTTGGATTTTTTCCATTTTATTTGGATTTTGAAGGCTACAGATCACGGATTCGACCTGAGACTATTCTTCAACGACGATTACGTTCATTAAGAATCGATTTTGGAGGATTTATTGCGGGTCGATTTCTGGCTTTTTCCAAAGGGGTACCATCGCAGATTTTGGGAGACTTTCCCGAAATGTCATTTTCTTTCGATTATGGAGGACCCTTATCACAGATTCAGGCCGAGGCTATTTTCCACCGATATTGAAGTTTATTGATCCAATTCTCCACATATGATAAGTCCATTAAGCTTCGATTTGGGGCAATTCATTTTCGGATTGCATTTTCATAATTTTTTGGGTTGAAAGACCATTTTCTTTGGATTTTGAAGGCTACAAATCACGGATTAGGCCTGAGACTATACTTCAACGACGATTACGTCCATTAAGAACCAATATGGGCGGATTTATTCGAGGTCGATTTTTGGCAGATTCCAAAGGGGTAGCATCACAGATTTTGGGCGATTTTCTCGGTATGCCTTTTTCTTTTGATTCTGGAGGCTATAGATAACGGATTCTGGCCGAGTGTATTCTCCACCGATATTAAAGTCTATTGATCCTGTTCTCCATAGATGATAAGTCCATTAACCTCCGATTTGGGGAAATTTACTTTCAGATGTCATTTTCGTAATTTATTGGGCAATGAAAGGCCATTTTCATTGGATTTTTAAGGCCACATATCACGAATTCATCCTGAGACTATTCTTCAACGACTACTACGTCCATTAAGAACCAATTTGGGCAGATTTATTCTGTGTCAATTTTGGGCAGATTCAAAAGGGGTACCATCACATATGTTGGGCGATTTCCCGAAATGTCATTTTCTTTCGATTCTGGAGGGTATAGATCACGGATTCAGGCCGAGGCTATTCTCCAACGATATTAATGTCTATTGATCCTATTCTCCATATATGATAAGTCTATTAAGCTTTGATTTGGGCCAATTTATTTTCAGATAGCATTTTCGTGATTTTTTGGGCGACGAAAGGCCATTTATTTGGATTATGAAGGCTACAGATCACGGGTTCGCCCCGAGGCTATTCTGCAACGACGATTACGTCCATTAAGAATCAAATTGGGAGGATTTATCGCTGGTCGATTTCTGATAGATTCCAAAGGGGTACCATCACATATTTTGGGAGATTTTCCCGAAATGCCATTTTCTTTCGATTCTGGAGAGGATAGATCACAGATTCAGGCCGATGCTATTTTCCATCGATATTGAAGTCTATTGATCCTATTCTCCACATATGATAAGTCCATTAAGCTTCGATTTGAAGCAATTTAATTTCGGATGGCATTTTCGTAATATTTTGGGTGATGAATGACCATTTTCTTTGCATTTTGAAGGCTACAGATCACGGATTCGACCCGAGACTATTCTTCAACGACGATTACGTCCATTAAGAACCGATTTTGGCGGATTTATTCCGTGTCAATTTTAGGCAGATGACTCGCTAAAACACAACACCTAACAATGGCCAAGTGTAACCAATGAAAGGGACTGCAGTATAGTGGTACAAGTAATAAATATCGAATCCATGGGTCTCTAGAGTTACTATTACTCAGCTTCAGTTCATTATCTAGCAAACTAGATTAAGGATTGATTAACTAAACTACTCTACTAACTAAACTACGTAAAACTACTAATTACAGTTTGGGAACTCACTTAGGTATGATTCCCCCTAGCTCCTCAATTAGGTCCAAGTTGTAATTCCTTTTGGTTGTTTTACTGTTGATTAAACTGCGGAAGATCCGACAGTAGCTTGGAATCTCTTAAGCTGACCAAGCCCTCTCAGTCTAACTATCCGGCAGACGACTAGTCTTCACCGGGATAGAAAGCTGAAGCAATAAGCACAGAACTCCACTACTGGAATTGGATTCCAGTACAAAGCAGTAAACTGGCTAACTCTCGTATAGCCAATCTCCTACTACCGAATGATGAGACTCTAGCAACCTAATCAGATTCTATCTATCTCAGGTTGCAGCAGAAATCATGAAAAGTTGATCAGACTTCAATTGACTCAATAAACATGCATCATTCGATTATAATCAAACAATATAGCATCCAAAACTTCATACAAGAAAGATCCTAACTCATGGAACTAGGGTTCCTCAAAACCTAAATGAAGGGAAGTTACTGCATAGAGAAGGGAGAGACTGCAGAAATCTGATCTAGATCTTCAATCTCCATCTTCAAGCTTGATTCCCGAGCTCCAATGGCAAAGAAATCCTCCAAAGTAGCTCCAAGAATGTTCTAAAGTCGCTCTCTCTCTCTAGGGTTCGTCCCTTGGGTGTTTGGGAACCAAAAACCCAGCTCTCCCCTCCTTTGGCTCGAAATTTGGCTTAAAACCAGAAAATCCCGACTCACACGGGCAGGCCGCACGGCCGTGCAGCTCACCCAGTTGCCCGTGTTGGTCAAAACGCAGAGTATCAATTAGTTGAATTCCGGCTTCTTACACGGCCAGGGTCGCACGCCCGTGCAGCTCACCTTGCACGGCCGTGTGGATTTTCTGCTCTGCCCGTGTGGCTTGCTCAGCCTCTGTTTAATGCTTCGTTTCTCCCTCGTCCGGACTCCGAATCAGTCCCCGTTTGATCCCAGACGCTCGTAGTCTCGTCCTCTTTCTTTTCATGACAAGCTTGCATGATTCTTTGTCCATAAATTGAGGTAGAAATCCATTCTTCTTCAGGTCATGCCCGAGTTTCTTCTCCCGAATCGTCAATTGATCTCTGATTGATTTGAAACTTGCGCATATGCTTCACTTTATGTGCTAGGACCTGAAATGTGACAAAGGAACACAACCTAGCGTAAAATAGTCCAAGGACACAATAATTCAAGCTCAAACAATCAAGAAACAAAGGGGAAAACATGTGCAAATACCGAGTCATCAAATCCCCCCACACTTAACTGTTTGCTTGTCCCCAAGCAAACCTAACTCAAACCAATGCAGCTCTCCAAAGCTCTATAGCAACATAAAACCCCGATCGTCGGTAGAGGATTTCCTAGATCTTATAGCAGCTTACGAGGTCAACTGGTCTTCTAAGACGTTCCCTATCTCTCTCAATGCGAGTACTAGACTCAAGCCAGGATCATGAGAAAAAGTAGAAGTAAGACAGTCAGTTCATGGATAAAGGGACTCACACCATTCACAACCAAGGACTCGTTGTACCGGGGTGATCTTTCACTTCATTTCACCGTTGGAACCCCTTTTTCACTTTCATTTTACTTTTTTTTTCTTTTTCATTCACTTGGCGGGGGTTCCAACTGCAGTCTTTTGCACGGTCGACCCTTATTAGTCGAGCAAGAGCAATTTCTGTACATCTGGCGCTCGGCAGAGTACTTCTTTTAACTCCTTTTCCTCAACTCATGTGGAGGGTCAATGAAATTAAGGGGGGTCGGAAGCTCTATCCGTGCCCTTAAAAACACATCCTCAAGTAGGCAAACCGTTCAACGGGTGGAAGTTTTATTTGTACTAGAGACAGCTTAGCTTCACCTTGTAGGAGTACCCCACTAAGGATCACTAAAATCTCCTCCAAAACCCGATTTCGTGCAATAAACGGTGCCACACACGTTGGGCTTACCCCATGTTTAAGATTTAATGATTTTGACATGGAGGACCAACCGCTTCCCATTTTCCACATGAGCACCCTGTTCGATACACGAGTCCATAACACAATCCAAACAGAGTCACCATTACCACATGAATTCAATGGTCTTAGCTCCACTAATTCACAAAATCAACTGACACAGCAGAGAGCTAGATAGGAAAAATCTTATACTTCAACATCCTCCATAGTGCTACACTACCTCCCTAGGTTGCACATTACTATAGAGAGTGTCAATTCAAAGCATACTGAGCAGGCAATTTGCAAGGAAACATGTACTTGGAGCCCTTAAATTTAAAAATTTGGACAGTGGACTAGGCTCCAAGCACACAAACAGCCAAACATTCACCCGCATACATAATTGAACATCCCCCCACACTTAAGCACGACATTGTCCTCAATGGAGGAAAGATAAGAAGGGTAGAACGAAGTTACCAGATCAAGGGTGAATGATGATGGACGGGTCAGGCGGTGCATTCCAGGAAGAGAGAGTAATCAGAACGCAAACACCACACAAAATCTCACAAAGGTTGAGTTATTGACTCTAAAATCAAATAACAAAACTGACTCAACCGAGGAGAAATAGAGAAAGAAATGCAAACCGACTGGTTGGGTTGCCTCCCAACAAGCACTTCTTTCACGTCGTGAGCCGGACGATGGCTCCTAAGTTTTGGTCCATGCTAGAACCTCCTTGAAGTTGAGGTTCTCGTCAATGAGGTGGAGTCGCAAGTCACGAGCATGTGGTATGACTAGTGATGGAAGCTCGTGCACTTGATGCAGATGAAGTCTCCACCCTCGAGACCTCTTCTTCTCTTCTCTCGTCTCATTGCCCCAAACCAGATAAGACAGCATCGATTGGCCACCATCACGTCCACCAAAAGGGACCGATGTTGATGTGGCCTTGGTCTGGCAAAGAGACACTGCAAATGGGTCCTTGCCAAGCAGCTCCTCGAAGTTTGGTGGAGATATCACATGTAACTCATGGCCGGTGCATGCCTCTTCCACCTCAACTTCATCCTCAGCCTGGACGCCAATTGCTTCCTCAACCCCCCTTCCTTCTTCAAAATGTGGTCTCTCCCCTGGGAAAAGATCAAGAACCACCTCTTCTTTTCTTTCTTCCTCATCCTCCACAACTTCCTTCCTCATCCTTGCTCGCTCTTCTTCTTCTAGAACAGATTGGAGAGCAAGTCGCCAAGCAATTTCTTCAATGGGATCATCTTGCATCTCCTCACATGGGCCCAGCATGTTAGAGCATAAATGAGGAAAGGTGTGATCTGCAACCAAAGGACTTTCCTGATCATGATTATCATGGGAGTTCTCTGTGATAACTTCTGTATGTTCCTCAATGCTCCCGTAGCCTTTGTCATCCTCCACCTCTTCTAGCGTGGTAGCAGAAAGGTGATCTTGAGCAAGATGTGAGAAAACTTGCTCCACCCACTCTGTTTGCTTCGCTGAGCGCTGAACAGTCTCCTCCATATCATGGAGAAATGAGGGATCGGAAGCAGCAAGGGCTTTGATTTGAAGATCCATCTTGGAGCATGATCTCTCAGTGTCTCGAGCGAACTGCTCCACGAGAAGCCTCAATTCATAGTTTGGATCTGGCTGTAGAGTGTAGCACGGCTCTACAGAATGGCCCGTGAAGGCCGCCATGGGTAACTCCAGCTCCGATGGCCCTCCTGGTTGTGGGAAAAATTCTTCTTGGTAATGAGGTTGTTCTTGATATGCCCAGGGGTCTGGTTGTTCTCCGTAGAAAGGGGGTTGGTACTGGAACCCGAATCCATAATCTTCTCCTCCTTGATTGCTGTAGGGAGTCTCGGGGTAATACCACTCGGGTGGTGGTGGATACCCCCAATTGTTGGAGAAGCCATGAGGATCCATGATTCAGATCTGCACCAACAAAAACAAAAAACAAAAAACACCCAAGTGAAAAGCAAGGGTGGAAAACAAAAGAAAAACGCTAAAGTAACAAACTTCTGCCTTTCCTAATAATCTAGAAAGTCCCCGGCAACGGCGCCAAAAACTTGACTCGCTAAAACACAACACCTAACAATGGCCAAGTGTAACCAATGAAAGGGACTGCAGTATAGTGGTACAAGTAATAAATATCGAATCCACGGGTCTCTAGAGTTACTATTACTCAGCTTCAGTTCATTATCTAGCAAACTAGATTAAGGATTGATTAACTAAACTACTCTACTAACTAAACTAAGTAAAACTACTAATTACAGTTTGGGAACTCACTTAGGTATGATTCCCCCTAGCTCCTCAATTAGGTCCAAGTTGTAATTCCTTTTGGTTGTTTTACTGTTGATTAAAGTGCGGAAGATCCAGTAGCTTGGAATCTCTTAAGCTGACCAAGCCCTCTCAGTCTAACTATCCGGCAGACGACTAGTCTTCACCGGGATAGAAAGCTGAAGCAATAAGCACAGAACTCCACTACTGGAATTGGATTCCAGTACAAAGCAGTAAACTGGCTAACTCTCGTATAGCCAATCTCCTACTACCGAATGATGAGACTCTAGCAACCTAATCAGATTCTATCTATCTCAGGTTGCAGCAGGAATCATGAAAAGTTGATCAGACTTCAATTGACTCAATAAACATGCATCATTCGATTATAATCAAACAATATAGCATCCAAAACTTCATACAAGAAAGATCCTAACTCATGGAACTAGGGTTCCTCAAAACCTAAATGAAGGGAAGTTACTCCATAGAGAAGGGAGAGACTGCAGAAATCTGATCTAGATCTTCAATCTCCATCTTCAAGCTTGATTCCCGAGCTCCAATGGCAAAGAAATCCTCCAAAGTAGCTCCAAGAATGTTCTAAAGTCGCTCTCTCTCTCTAGGGTTCGTCCCTTGGGTGTTTGGGAACCAAAAACCCAGCTCTCCCCTCCTTTGGCTCGAAATTTGGCTTAAAACCAAAAAATCCCGACTCACACGGGCAGGCCGCACGGCCGTGCAGCTCACCCAGTTGTCCGTGTTGGTCAAAACGCAGCGTATCAATTAGTTGAATTCCGGCTTCTTACACGGCCAGGGTCGCACGCCCGTGCAGCTCACCTTGCACGGCCGTGCAGATCACCTTGCACGGCCGAGTGGATTTTCTGCTCTGCCCGTGTGGCTTGCTCAGCCTCTGCTTAATGCTTCGTTTCTCCCTCGTCCGGACTCCGAATCAGTCCCCGTTTGATCCCAGACGCTCGTAGTCTCGTCCTCTTTCTTTTCATGACAAGCTTGCATGATTCTTTGTCCATAAATTGAGGTAGAAATCCATTCTTCTTCAGGTCATGCCCGAGTTTCTTCTCCCGAATCGTCAATTGATCTCTGATTGATTTGAAACTTGCGCCTATGCTTCACTTTATGTGCTAGGACCTGAAATGTGACAAAGGAACACAACTTAGCGTAAAATAGTCCAAGGACGCAATAATTCAAGCTCAAACAATCAAGAAACAAAGGGGAAAACATGTGCAAATACCGAGTCATCAGCAGATTCCAAAGGGGTGCAATCACAGATTTTGGGCAATTTTCCCGAAATGTCATTTTCTTTCGATTTTGAAGGGTACAGATCACGGATTCAGGCGAAGGCTATTCTCCACCAATATTAAAGTCTATTGATTCTATTCTCCACATATGATAACTCCATTAAGCTTTGATTTGGGGCAATTTATTTTCTGATGGCATTTTCGTAATATTTAGGGCGATGAAAGGCCATTTTCTTTGTATTTTGAAGGCTACAGATCACGGATTCGGCCTGAGACTATTCTTCAACGACGATTACGTTCATTAAGAACCAATTTGGGCGGATTTATTCCAGGTCGATTTTTGGCAGAGTCCAAAGGGGTAGTTCACAGATTTTGGGCGATTTCCCGAAATGCCATTTTCTTTCGATTTTGGAGGCTATAGATAAGGGATTCAGGCCGAGGCTATTATCCACCAATATTAAAGTCTATTGATCCTATTCTCCACATATGATAAGCCAGTTAAGCTTCGATTTGGGGCAATTTATTTTCGGATGGCATTTTTGTAATTTTTTGGGCGATGAAAGGCCATTTTCTTTGTATTTTGAAGGCTACAGATCAAAGATTCATCCTCAGACTATTCTTCAACAACGACTACGTCCATTAAGGACAACTTTGGGCGGATTTAATCTGTGTCGATTTTGGGTAGATTCCAAATGGTACCATCACAGATTTTGGGCGATTTTCACGAAATGCCATTTTCTTTCGTTTCTGGAGGGTACAGATCACAGATTCAGGCCGAGGCTATTCTCCATCGATATTAAAGTCTATTGATCCTATTCTCCATATATGATAAGTCCATTCAGCTCCGATTTTGGTCAATTTATTTTGGATGGCATTTTCGTAATTTTTTGGGCGACGAAAGGCCATTTTCTTTGGATTATGAAGGCTACAGATAACGGCTTCGGCCTGAGGCTATTCTTCAACGACGATTACGTTCATTAAGAATCAATTTTGGAGGATTTATTGCGGTTAGATTTCTGGCTTTTTCCAAAGGGGTACCATCACAGATTTTGGGAGACTTTCCCGAAATGTCATTTTGTTTTGATTCCGGAGGGTACATATCAAAGATTCAGGCTGAGGCTATTTTCTACCGATATTAAAGTCTGTTGATCCTATTCTCCACATATGATAAGTTCATTAAGCTTCGATTTGAAGCAATTTATTTTCGGATGGCATTTTCGTAATTTTTTGGGCGATGAAAGACCATTTTCTTTGAATTTTGAAGGCTACAGATCACGGATTCGACCTGAGACTATTCTTCAACGACGATTATGTCCATTAAGAACAGATTTGAGCGGATTTATTCCGGGTCGATTTTTGGCAGATTCCAAAGGGATACCAGTATAAATTTCGGGTGATTTTCTCGAAATGCCATTTTCTTTCAATTCTGGAGGCTACATATAACCGATTCTGGCTGAGGCTATTCTCCACCGATAATGAAGTCCATTGATCCTATTCTCCACGGATGATAAGTCCATTATGTTCCGATTTAGGCCAATTTATGTTTAGTTGGCATTTTCGTAATTTTTTGGGCTATGAAAAGCAAATTTTTTGGATTTTGAAGGATATAGATCACGAAGTCGACCTAAGGCTATTCTTCAATGACGATTACGTCCATTAAGAATCAATTTGGGCGGATTTATTCCCGGTTGATTTTGGGCAGATTGCAAAGGGTTACCATCACAGATTTGGGAGATTTTCTCGAAATGCCATTTTCTTTTGATTCTGGAGGGTACAGATCACAGATTCAGGCCGACGCTATTTGAAACCGATATTGAAGTCTATTGATCCTATTCTCCACATATGATAAGTCCATTAGGCTTCGATTTGAAGCAATTTATTTTCGGATGATATTTTCGTAATTTTTTGGGCGATGAAAGACCATTTTCTTTGGATTTTGAAGGCTACAGATAACGGATTCGTCCTGAGACTATTCTTCAACAACGACTACGTCCATTAAGAACAGATTTGGGCAGATTTATTCCGGGTCGATTTTTTGCAGATTCCAAAGGGGTACGTACCATCTTAAATTTTGGGCGATTTTCTCGAAATGCCATTTTCTTTCGATTCTGGAGGGTACAGATCACGGAATCAGGCCAAGGATATTCTCCACCGATATTAAAGTCTATTGATCTTATTCTTTACATTGATAAGTCCATTAAGTTCCGATTTGGGGCAATTTATTTTCGGATGGCATTTTCAAAAAAATTTGGTCGACGAAAGGCCATTTTCTTTGGATTTTGAAGGCGCTACAGATCACGGATTCAGCCTGAGGCTATTCTTCAATGAAGATTACGTCCATTAAGAGCCAATTTGGGCAGAAATCGAAAGAAAATTGCATTTCGGAAAAATCGCCCGAAATCGATGATGGTACCCCTTTGGAGTTTGCGAAAAATGGACCAGGAAGAAATCCGCACAAATTGGCCCTGGATGGACTAAATCGTCGTTGAAGAATAGCCTCAGGCCGAATCCACCATCCTTATACTTCAAATTCCAAACAAAATGGCCTTTCGAATAAAATTGCTCAAATAATTACGAAAATGCCATCCCAAAATATATTAGCCTAATTCGGTGCTTAATTGACTTAATTATCGGCCCAAAAAAGGATCAATAGACTTTATTATCGGTGGAGAATAGCCTCGATCTAAATTCGTGATCTGTAGACTCCAAAATCGAAAGAAACGACATTTCGGAAAAATCGCCCGAAATCTGTGATGGTACCCCTTTGGAGTCTGCCAAAGATGGACCCGGAAGAAATCCGCCCAAATTAGCCCTGGATGAACTTATTCGTCGTTGAAGAATAGCCTCAGACCAAATCCACCATCCTTATACTTTAAATTCCAATCAAAATGGCCTTTTAAAAAAATTACTCAAATAATTACGAAAATGCCATCCCAAAATATATTGGCCCAATTCGGTGCTTAATTGACTTAATCATCGGCGCAAAATATGATCAATAGACTTTATTATCGGTGGAGAATAGCATCCAGCCGAATCCGTGATATGTAGACTCCAAAATGAAAAGAAAATGGCAATTCGGAAAAATCGCCCGAAATCTGTGATGGTACCCCTTTGGAGTCTGCCAAAAATGGACCCCGAAGAAATCTGCCCAAATTGGCCCTGGATAGACTTAATCGTCGTTGAATAATAGTCTCAGGCCGAATCCCACCATCTTTATCCTTCAAAATCAAGGAAAAATGGCCTTTCGAAAAAAATTGCTCAAATAATTATGAAAATGCCATCCCAAAATATATTGGCCCAATTCGGTGCTTAATTGACTTAATTATCAGCGCAGAATAGGATCAATAGACTTTATTATCGGTGGAGAATAGCATCGAGCCGATTCCGTGATCTGTAGCCTCCAAAATCAAAAGAAAATGGCATTTTGGAAAAATCGCCCAAAATCTGTGATGGTACCACTTTGGAGTCTGCCAATAATGGACCCGGAAGAAATCCGCCCAAATTGGCCCTGGATGGACTTAATCGTCGTTGAAGAATAGCCTCAGGCCGAACCACCATCTTTATCCTTCAAAATCCAAGGAAAGTGGCCTTTCGAAAAAAATTGCTCAAATAATTACGAAAATGCCATCACAAAATATATTGGCCCAATTCGGTGCTTAATTGACTTAATCATCGGCGTAGAATAGGACCAATAGACTTTTTTATCGGAGGAGAATAGGCTCGAGCCAAATCCGTGATCTTTAGCCTCCAAAATCGAAAGAAAATTGCATTTCCGAAAAATCGCCCGAAATTTTTGATGGTAACCCTTTGGAGTCTGCCAAAAATTGACCCGGAAGAAACCCGCCCAAATTGGCCCTGGATGGACTTAATCGTCGTTGAAGAATAGCCTCCGGCCGAATCCACCATCTTTATACTTCAAAATCAAAGAAAAATGGCCTTTCGAAAAAAATTGCTCAAATAATTACAAAAATGCCATCCCAAAATATATTGGCCCAATTCGGTGCTTAATTGACTTAATTATCAACGCAGAATAGGATTAATAGACTTTATTATCGGTGGAGAATGGCATCGAGTCGAATCTGTGATCTTTAGCCTCCAAAATAAAAAAATGGCATTTCAGAAAAATCCCCCAAAAACTGTGATGGTACCCCTTTGGAGTCTGCCAAAAATGGACACGGAAAAAATCCGCCCATATTGGCCCTAGATGTACTTAATCGTCGTTGAAGAATAGCCACAGGCCGAATCCACCACCTTTATCCTTCAAAATCCAAGCAAAGTGGCCTATCTAAAAAAATTGCTCAAATAATTACGAAAATGCCATCCCAAAATATAATGGCCCAAATCGGTGCTTAATTGATTTAATCATCGGCGCAGAATAGAAACAATAGACTTTATTATCCCTGGAGAATAGGCTCGAGCTGAATCGGTGATCTGTAGCCACCAAAATCGAAATAAAATGGCATTTCGGAAAAATCGCCCGAAATCTGTGATGGTACCCCTTTGCAGTCTGCCAAAAATGGACCCGGAAGAAATCTACCCAAATTAGCCCTGGATGGACTTAATCGTCGTTGAAGAATAGCCTCAGACCGAATCCACCATCCTTATACTTCAAAATCCAAACAAAATGGCCTTTCAAAAAAAAACTGTTCAAATAATTACGAAAATGCCATCCCAAAATTATTAGCCCAATTCGGTGCTTAATTGAATTAATCATCGGCGCAAAATAGGATTAATAGACTTTATTATCAGTGGAGATTAGCCTCGAATCAAATCCGTGATCTGTAGACTCCAAAATCGAATGAAAATGGGATTTCAGAAAAATCGCCCGAAATCTGTGATGGTACCCCTTTGCAGTCTGCCAAAAAAGGACCCGGAAGAAATCGGCCCAAATTGGCCCTGGATGGACTTAATCGTCGTTGAAGAATAGTCTCAGGCCGAATCCACCATCTTTATCCTTCAAAATCCAAAAAATGGCCTTTCGAAAAAAATTGCTCAAATAATTACAAAAATGCCATCCCAAAATATATTGGCCCAATTCGGTGCTTAATTGACTTAATTATCAACGCAGAATAGGATTAATAGACTTTATTATCGGTGGAGAATGGCATCGAGTCGAATCTGTGATCTTTAGCCTCCAAAATAAAAAAAATGGCATTTCAGAAAAATCCCCCAAAAACTGTGATGGTACCCCTTTGGAGTCTGCCAAAAATGAACACGGAAAAAATCCGCCCATATTGGCCCTAGATGTACTTAATCGTCGTTGAAGAATAGCCACAGGCCGAATCCACCACCTTTATCCTTCAAAATCCAAGCAAAGTGGCCTATCTAAAAAAATTGCTCAAATAATTACGAAAATGCCATCCCAAAATATAATGGCCCAAATCGGTGCTTAATTGATTTAATCATCGGCGCAGAATAGAAACAATAGACTTTATTATCCCTGGAGAATAGGCTCGAGCCGAATCGGTGATCTGTAGCCACCAAAATCGAAATAAAATGGCATTTCGGAAAAATCGCCCGAAATCTGTGATGGTACCCCTTTGCAGTCTTCCAAAAATGGACCCGGAAGAAATCTACCCAAATTAGCCCTGGATGGACTTAATCGTCGTTGAAGAATAGCCTCAGACCGAATCCACCATCCTTATACTTCAAAATCCAAACAAAATGGCCTTTCAAAAAAAAACTGTTCAAATAATTACGAAAATGCCATCCCAAAATTATTAGCCCAATTCGGTGCTTAATTGAATTAATCATCGGCGCAAAATAGGATTAATAGACTTTATTATCAGTGGAGATTAGCCTCGAATCAAATCCGTGATCTGTAGACTCCAAAATCGAATGAAAATGGGATTTCAGAAAAATCGCCCGAAATCTGTGATGGTACCCCTTTGCAGTCTGCCAAAAAAGGACCCGGAAGAAATCGGCCCAAATTGGCCCTGGATGGACTTAATCGTCGTTGAAGAATAGTCTCAGGCCGAATCCACCATCTTTATCCTTCAAAATCCAAAAAATGGCCTTTCGAAAAAAATTGCTCAAATAATTACTAAAATGCCATCCCAAAATATATTGGCCCAATTCGGTGCTTCATTGACTTAATCATCAGCGCAGAATAGGATCAATAGAATTTATTATCGGTGGAGAATAGCATCCAGCCGAATCCGTGATCTGTAGACTCCAAAATGAAAAGAAAATGACATTTCGGAAAAATCGCCCGAAATCTGTGATGGTATATACCCCTTTGGAGTCTGCCAAAAATGGGCACGGAAGAAATCCGCCCGAATTGGCCCTAGATGTACTTAATCGTCATTGAAGAATAGCCCCAGGCCGAATCCACCACCTTTATCCTTCAAAATCCAAGGAAAGTGGCCTTTCTTAAAAAATTGCTCAAATAATTACGAAAATGCCATCCCAAAATATAATGGCCAAATTCGGTGCTTAATTGATTTAATCATCGGCGCAGAATAGGACCAATGGACTTTATTATCGGTGGAGAATAGGCTCGAGCCGAATCCGTGATCTGTAACCTCCAAAATCGAAAGAAAATGGCATTTCGGAAAAATCGCTCGAAATATGTGATGGTACCCCCTTTGGAGTCTGCCAAAAATGGACACGGAAGAAATCCGAACAAATTGTCCATAGATGTACTTAATCATCGTTGAAGAATAGCCCCAGGCCTAATCTACCACCTTTATCCTTCAAAATCCATGGAAAGTTACCTTTCTAAAAAAATTGCACAAATAATTACGAAAATGCCATCCCAAAATATAATGACCCAATTCGGTGCTTAATTGATTTAATCATCGGCGCAGAATAGGACCAATGGACATTATTATCGGTGGAGAATAGGCTCGAGCCGAATCCGTGATCTGTAGCCTCCAAAATCGAAAAAAATGGCATTTCGGAAAAATCGCTGAAATCTGTGATGGTACCCCCTTTGGAGTCTGGCAAAAATGGACCCGGAAGAAATCCGCCTAAATTGGCCCTGGATGGACTTAATCGTCATTGAAGAATAGCCTCATGCCGAATCCACCATCTTTATCCTTCAAAATCCAAGGAAACTGGCCTTTCGAAAAAAATTGTTCAAATAATTACGAAAATGCCATCACAAAATATATTGGCCCAATTCGGTGCTTAATTGACTTAATCATCGACGCAGAATAGGACCAATAGACTTTTTTATCGGTGGAGAATAGGCTCGAGCCAAATCCGTGATCTGTAGCCTCCAAAATCGAAAGAAAATGGCATTTCGGAAAAATCGTCCGAAATTTGTGATGGTACCCCTTTGGATTCTGCCAAAAATGGACCCGGAAGAAATCCGCTCAAATTGGCCCTGGATGGACTTAATTGTCGTTGAAGAATAGCCTCCGGCCGAATCCACCATCTTTATCCTTCAAAATCAAATCAAATTGGCCTTTCGAAAAAAATTGCTCAAATAATTACAAAAATGCCATCCCAAAATATATTGGCCCAATTCGGTGCTTAATTGACTTAATTATCAACGCAGAATAGGTTTGATAGACTTTATTGTCGGTGGAGAATGGCATCGAGCCGAATCCGTGATCTGTAGCCTCCAAAATCAAATGAAAATGGCATTTCGGAAAAATCGCCCAAAATCTGTGATGGTACCCCTTTGGAGTCTGCCAAAAATGGACACGGAAGAAATCCCCCCCCATATTAGCCCTAGATGTACTTAATCGTCGTTGAAGAATAGCCCCAGGGCGAATCCACCACCTTTATCCTTCAAAATCCAAGGATAGTGGCCTTTCTAAAAAAATTGCTCAAATAATTACGAAAATGACATCCCAAAATATAATGGCCCAATTCGGTGCTTAATTGATTTAATCATCGGTGCAGAATAGGACCGACGGACTTTATTATCGGTGGAGAATAGGCTCGAGCCGAATCCGTGATCTGTAGCCTCCAAAATCGAAAGAAAATGGCATTTCGGAAAAATCGCTCGAAATATGTGATGGTACCCCCTTTGGAGTCTGCCAAAAAAGGACCCAGAAGAAATCTGCCCAAATTGGCCCTGTATGGACTCAATCGTCGTTGAAGAATAGTCTTAGGCCGAATCCACCATCTTTATCCTTCAAAATCCAAGAAAAATGGTCATTCGAAAAAAACTGCTCAAATAATTACGAAAATGCCATCCCAAAATATATTGGCCCAATTCGGTGCTTAATTGACTTAATCATCAGCGCAGAATAGGATCAATGGACTTTATTATCGGTGGAGAATAGCATCCAGACGAATCCGTGATCTGTAGACTACAAAATGAAAAGAAAATGGCATTTCGGAAAAATCGCCCGAAATCTGTGATGGTACCCTTTTGGAGTCTGCCAAAAATGGACACAGAAGAAATCCGCCCAAATTGGCCCTAGATGTACTTAATCGTAGTTGAAGAATAGCCCGAGGCCGAATCCACCACCTTTATGCTTCAAAATCCAAGGAAAGTGACCTTTCTAAAAAAATTGCTCAAATAATTACGAAAATGCCATCCCAAAATATAATGGCCCAATTCGGTGCTTAATTGATTTAATCATCGGCGCAGAATAGGACCAATGGACTTTATTATTGGTGGAGAATGGGCTCGCGCAGAATCCGTGATCTGTAGCCTCCAAAATCGAAAGAAAATGGCATTTCGGATAAATCGCCCGAAATTTGTGATGGTACCTTTTTGG